GGGGGGGGGGGGGGGAGAGACATGTGCCTTTGAGGGCCGCTCCAAGAGGGGCATCTCCAGCGAGCCAATCGCGAATTAGCAGGGCGGAGGGAAGGCCGGCTTGGGCCTGAAGTCGCCCACCTGAATGGCGAGTGACGGGGCTGCTCTCCATGGTGCTGAAAGAGAGAACCAGCGGGGGGGCTGGAAGTGGCAGACCCCGAGGACTGGGCGGGTGGGGGTAACATGGGGCAGGATAGAATTGGTTTGAAGTCTCTTCCTCCTCCCCCACTTCTTCTCTCCTTTACAGGTAAGCTCACTGCTGAAGAAAAGAAGCTTGCAACTCAACAGGGCAAACTGCCTTGCAATTTCGTTACCTGTAAACCAGAAGAGAAACAGCCCTTGGTTGGCTTCCCGTGGGCTGTGTTCACACAGCTCACGATGGTTGCATCTGTTGAGCTTGGTAAGGTATGTTTTGGGTGGTGCACCGCATTGGGTGAGGCCAGCTAGTTTGGCTAGCTAATAGCTCATTGGATTGTGTGAGTCCCCACAAATGGATCCGTCCAGTAATCAACTTACCCATGTTGTGCAAACTTAGCCATTCATGTGTGCAGGTGTGAAGAACCATGGAGCACAAAAGATGCAATTAGGACTAAACTATTATTGACGATAATGAACTACTCACCTGAAAGCTTGTCCAGGCACAATTCAACACCCCTTTGGCAGCAATCTTTGGCTCAGCCATAAATCTTGATTTGCAAACTATGGGGAGGGGGGAATGTCACAGGATACACTAAGACACAAACAAGCAGATTACAATTATTATTATGTGTGAATCCTGTTGCAAAAACACCGTGACTGAGAGGGGCTTTCATACTGAAGTGGTTGTGCTTTACACCCACTTTTTCCAACTTGGCACCCCAAAGATGTGTTAGGACTGATTTTCGCTGTGATGGGCAGGGATTACAGAGCACACTTGGAGGGTATCAAGTTAGGGAAGATTCTCAAGAAGCCATCCCAATTCTCATAAAAAATCTATTTAAACCTCAAAGCTACTTTTTAATTATTACTCCAAAAATTCTGATCCCTACAAGAACTGTGAGTCATCACTTTAAAATTAGCCCTAAAAATGGAACTTAAAAAAGCCAAACAAACAATAAAGAAGAACTTTTTGCTAATGAAGATGATCCACCAAAACACCATGGTACTTCCTTTCAAATTTCTTTTATTCCTCCCTAATATTGGTTTGGACAAATGCATAGTCATGCTAGAAGAGATACTGAAATCTGAAGACGCCCCATTGATTTCACTGGGTCAACATTAAACATGGCTAAACTCATAATTCTGCTGGGATTTTATTTACATTCACTTCTTAAAAATCTAATGGTTCATCCCTTCTTATTTTCTTTCTTCATGCTCCCTCTCTCTCTCTCTCATGTTCTTGTTTCTCTGGTGTGTTTTTTTTTATCCCCTTCTAATCTGTAATATTCATTTCCCTAGAGTCAATTTGCTAAAATTAGGGTGATACTCCACATCACAGCCGAGATAATTTCAGCTCGCATCTTGGAAAATTGCTCTAATTATTGATGTTAAATTCAGGGAAATTAAAAGAAGGCACTTCTCCTTCATCTCCCAATTTTAAGCTCTAATTTGTCAAAATCGAGTTGTCATCACAATTCCAGTCAGGGGCTGTTAATAGTCAAAATGTTTTAATAGAGCCAGAATTCTCGCAACCCATGCTATTAGATAATTAGGAGAGATGTTAGAAAGACAAGTGGTAATCCTTGGGCACATGGACAGCAGTTCCATCTAATCCAGCAGGTAGAACAAATTAATTACCAGAATCAATTAGGATGAAAAGTGCAGTTCTCCAGGAGTGTAAACCATGCCTTCCATATGTATGAGCTGGTAAATGGTAAATAAATGGCAAAACCCTGGAAATAATAGAAACGGCAATCATGATAGTTTAATGAACAGGCAACTTGGAGAGCATGAGTTAATGTTACTCTAACTCCCTCATGCTTGTCTGCAGGATAATGGAAAAGGCTGCAGTATGCCTCAGTGTTCCAGACATCACTTCATTGTTCTACCTTATTGGATTATTAAAGCAGCTCATTGTAATGAAACTATCATTTAAAACAAAACAGAACAAGACCATAAGCTTGGGCAATCTTACAAATGAGAGTCCTTTGTGGAAGCAGCCCTCCATTCCTTTTGTTGAATTGACATGGGTACAATGATCTCCGGGGAATCCACCCTTCGGTGATGGCACTGACTCAGTGAGGCAAACTTTCCATGGTGGTGGCATTGTGTTGGAGTAAGACTGATGTTTGATGCATGGTCAAAACAGCAAAACAAAACAAGCAATGGGAAATTCATCCAAGGAAGTGCTTTAGATCCCAGGGAATGGGATGAAGCTATGGTGGCTTTCCTCAAGCTGGGACCTTCTCAGCTTTAACTTGCAGCATTCTAAGCTAAGATACTGGTTGGGAAGACTGGAAGTTCAAGCAACTAGAAGGAACCAGATCACGGAAGTCTGATCTGATGGATTAGTTGTGCAGTCATTAAAATGCAGCTACTAACTTCTCAATGAACTGATTCCACTCACTCAGGACTTGGCTTCTGTTGGGTAGGGTAGAGATAAGAGAACCTTCTATTGCACTTGGGCCTAGCTGGAATGAGAAGCAATACCAGGGGGCAGCAGCTGGTGAACCTTGGCAGGTGTCAGAAGCTAAGCAGGGTTAAGCCTGGTTAGAACTAGAATGGGAAACCTCTGGAGAACCCCAATGTTATGGCTTTGCTGGACTTGTCTACTAATGATGAGGAGGAGCAGGAAGTACAGCCAAGGGCTTCTAGGGATAATAGTCCTGGAGGGGCTGATTCCAGCATTGCTGAAGCCAATAATTTCACTCTGTCTGAGGCAGATCCAGCAAGCCTCCAGGACTCCCTGCCTGCACCCACTAACAGCCACTCAGACACTGAAGTTCACCCACCCAGTACAACAGCAGAGGGCTGAGCTCCACAGGTCAGATAGACTGGCCAAGAAGCAGGCTGGCAAAAGAGTAGACTCCAATGAGTAGTATGCCTCAGCTGTGCATTTGGGTGGTGGCTCAGCATGGCTTATTTCTTGGCCTCCCTCTCTGACAGAAAATGGTGAGAACAACTTTGCAAGCCTCAGCTCTGTTGTGTCGACCTTGTCATGCCATGCTTTGAACTCTGGATTCCACCTCACTATGGCTCTTGTCTTCTCCCTTGGATTTGCCATTTCTTTTTTGGATTTGTGGTCTTGACCCATGCCAAGCCATAACTACATTACAGTTGCCGTCTTTAGCTATAGGTAAAAAGGACTCTTGGCTTCTAAAAATGTTGCCTGAATGCATATCTCTGGACTATGGCAGGCATCCAGCTTGCTCTCTGGCCAGCACAGAAAACCCAGGGCTGTGGACTAAACTGGAAAGTTGAACAAATATCCTTAAAAAAGGCAATATCAACTCACTTCCATAATGCTGCTCCAAAAACTGTGTGGGGACAGTCACAAGAAGTCAAGATTGATTTGATGGTATCTTTAGTTTTAATTGAATTTCAAGGTCTTCCTTGAAGATCTTGCTTAGATCCTGATTCCTTATACCACTTTCTGGTTTGTTCCTTAGCTTCCAGTGCCATGCGTCTAGCTTACCTGCATGTGCTGGCTAATGAACAGCAAGGGGTCCAACTTTAACCTAGTCTATGTCATAAGGCATGCTTCTTGGAGAACGTGCATGCTGAAGGAGAATATACAGCATGCCACTGAGATGTGCACCTTTCCCGAGGTGCCAGTTAGCAGGGAATCTTTGACTGTAATTAGCAGGCCATAGTTAGTGATACATGAGCTCTAAGACCTACAATTTAGAAAATGTAGCTATAACAGGGCATCATTATCACTAATGGCTAGGCATCATGACTCACCTAGCCTTTTATGTTACTTACTTTATCTGTCCCTGCTTTTATTCTATAATTCTTCCTCTGGTTTAATAGTTGTTAGTTACACTAAATGATACATAAGCATTAGAAGAGGAGGAGATCATTTTTCAAAATACAAATCTAAAATAAATAAATATGTGCATAGACTTCTTCCTTGGAAAAGGTTGCTTCTGTGCTTCTGTGCTTCTGTGCATAAAGGATTTAGACAGGAGGTGTCTGAAAAAATCGTAATATTCTTCTCTTTCTTGGAAAACTTGTTCTTGTCTTTCTTTAGGCTTGGGACTTGATGCTTCAAAAAGCTGAGGGGCTAAAAAGTTTTCTCCTTGGAGCAAATGGGGAAAGCGAATGAATTAATTGTGATGAAACAGGCTTAAAACCCAACTTATTAAAGCAGCTGGTTTACAGAGCGAGAGCAAGCAAGAGAGCTAAGCGGATCACTTCAGCATTTCATCTCAGGCAATTGCTTCTTCGGGCAGAATAGAGCTTCTCTTTAGCCATCAGCGAGATTTCTTTTTCAAAGAAGATGCAAAGATTAAAGAAATGGGACTTCAGAAAACCCTAGAGGTTGGAGGGGGAGGGAAATGGAAAAGAGAGAGAGAAAGTGTATGTGTAAGAGAGGGACAGTGCGAGAGAGCCAGCAACATCAGGACCAATGTTAAAACAAGCAAGGGAGATTGCTCAAAGCTCCGTTTAATGCCCTGAAAATGGGAAAGGCAGAAAGAGAGGAAGGATAAAGCTAAGTCTGCTGATGAAGGAGAGAAAAAATGGAGTTGATATAAATGTACAGCCTTATTTGTAGACAGTTTGTCACCAATGCTGGTTCCCTTCTGTGGGCCACCCTAACTGCTATACTCACACAACACATTAGCTTATGGTAAACAGAACCATGATTTATTAAA